GGACACCAGTCAGTGTACAGTTATCTCCCTGACAGAGGGAGACAGGGTCAGAGGACTGAGAAACATCAGTCAGTGTGTAGAGACCTCCCTGCGAGATGGGATACTGAGACACACCAGTGTACAGATATCTCCTTGAGAGGGAGAGGACTGAGAGGAGAGTTGACATGCATCAATTTTCAGGAGCCTCATTTCCTTGTTCAGTGCCACTGAAGGGAACGAACAGATAACTGTTGGGAGCTCAACCATATGGTCTCCAAGACACTGATGCAACAGGCTTGGAACAATTCGAAAGGATATTCGGGAGAAGAACAAATCCAGGTTTTCAATGTGATGCCATGGAGCTATGGAGAAGTAAACAGAAAGATTAGAGATTTACTTAAAGCACCTTTTGCTCATTATCAGCCAGACTCCCAGTGAACTTGAAACTGATTGAATCAGCCTAGAGGACAAGATAAGATTACATGCTGTTTAGAGGGCAAGAGACAAAGTTTAAATTTCTCAGAGTGGTCAAGGTGCCCCCTCATGCGTTTTGGAGCCAAATCTGTTTCTGAGAACATCAATAACTTAGATCTGGATTTCCAGGGACCGAAGCCACGTTAGGCAAAGTAAGTATCAAAAATGGACATAAAAGTGACAGATCAAATGGAGTATTTGTAACCGAGAGCTGGGACATTCTACTACAAAAAATAAAAATGAGAATTACATTAGTAGGAAGTGGTGACATGGACAAATAGAGGGGGTTTTGCGTTCACAAGACATTTAAAACAAGTATCTTGCATAGAAAAAGCCAGAAAACATGAATGAAATCCTGTTTTTACAGTTAGTATAGAATCTAAAAGCAATGATGGGCTAGCGATCAAGTCCAGAGTTGGGAAGGGTTAAGTGTTGATCTTGGCAGGAAGGATGTTGAGCTGAGAGAGGGGGGACAACACAGAATAACGGGAATGCTATCTGCAATGAGGAAATATAACTGCAGGAAAGTACTTGAGAACTGGGGCCCCTATCATGGAAACATGATTTGAAAGAGATGTTTAAAGTTTTAATGAACAGAGTAGATTAAATTGGAGAAAAGGACATTTGTTAGAGGATAACTCTCCCAATGGTAACATAATCATAAGTTAAAGGGAACAGATTTAAGGTAGTGACAAAAGGAATGGTGACACAAAAAGCAGTATTTTCCTGTAGTAAGGCCCGGACTGCATTGCCCAAGAGCATGATGGAGGCAGGTTCAATTGAGGCATTTCAGGAGGAATTGGATTACTATCTGAATGGAAAAAAAAATTACAATGCTACAAGGAAAAAAAAATGGGCGAGTGAAACTAGTCTTACAGAATCAGTACAAAGATGACAGGCTGAATGGTCTTCCCTCGGTGCTGCTACTATTCCTTGATTCAGTGATAAAAGCAAGATATTGCAAATGCTGCAAATAAAAGATAAAGAAAAATGCTGCAAACATTCAGCAGATATAGTAGTATTTATGGAGGGAGAAACAATGTTACATATCTGGTCTGAAAATTTTCACGAGTATACCACACACGCCAGAATAAAGGGAACTTGGCTTCACTGAGACAGATAAATCTTTTGCAAGTTTAGTTATAGAGTAAAAGTCAGGATCAGACTTAGAAACGACAACTTTTACGGAAGTTAAAAAGGCAAAATGCATGACAGTGGAAATTATCCATCAAACACCTGAAATTTCTGCCTGAATTGGGAATTGATTACTGTAACATGAAGTTAAGAAAAACAAATGGCTCATCAGAGCTCTCTATATTAGGGCTTGTTCAAAGTGCACAGTCAGAATAAACCATACCGTCAGAGTGAGGGAGATTGCACTGGAATGAGATCAAGACTGAGTGACTAACTGGGAATCTGGATCAGAGTGGGAATTCATTGTAGAGGGATAAAGAGATGCTATAAGTAAGATTTACTACAAACTAAAGAGGGCACAGATTGAGAAACCTCCCTGCACTGACACTAATGGCAGAGTGATGTCATGAGGACATGGAAAGCAGCTGAGTGAGTAAATTTGGTCAGTATTTTTAATCTGTAAAGTGAAGTTGGTATTAGTCTTTGTCTCTAGTCTTTTTACCTCCCTTTCTCCAAGAAAGTGTTTGTTAAGTTTTCATACTAAGTTCATACTGACTGTGAGGGTAATAAATAGTTTTTGAAGTCAAGGAGTGGCGGGTGAGTGACATGTACACCTTGTGCTATGTGTGAAGTCACATGCGCGCGCACTCACACACACTCACACACGGGGAGTATCACCAGCTACAGAAGCCCAAGCTCCAGGCTTTGGAACATGAGCAGTGGCTGCAGTCACCTCAAGGTGGAGAACTACGTGGATAAAATGTATAAGAGGTGGTCACACTGCAAATTAGAAGCTCAAAAGCAGAGAGAGAATGGGTGGTTACCAGGCAGCCTAAGTAAACGGGGCAAGTAATAAAGGAGTCCCTGACTCCATCATGCTTACCAATTGGTATTACATTTGGAAACTGGCGAGAATGATGGTTCCTCAGGGGAACACAGCCTGACCCATGCCCATTGCATCAAGGGAGACTTAGCTGTACAAGGAGGACGAAGAAGAATGGATGAGCAATAGTTATAGGGAAGTTCATAGTCGGGGAAATTAGACAGTTGTTTCTGTGCCAGTAAATGTGAGTCTAGGATGGTGCTTTTCCCCTCTGATGCCAGGGTCAAGGATATTGCAGACATCCTTCTAGGGGAGAGAGAGGGATCAGCTAGAAGTCATGGCTTACATTGGTACTAATGACATAAGTAGGAAGATGGATATGGTCCCGAAGATAAATTTGATACGAGATTTGTAAGAACTGTAAACTGTGAGGAGCACAGTGAGGAATTTCAAAAGGATGTTGGCAAGTTGGAGTGAGCGGAAAGGTGGCAGATGGGGGTCAATGCAGAGAAGTGGGAGGTGGTGCACTTTGCTCAGGAGAACATGGTAAGACAATATAAAACAAAAGGTACAATTCTAAAGAGGATGCAGGAGCAGGGGAACCTGGGGGTTTACGTGCACAGTTCATCAAAGGTAGCAGGACAGGAGGAGATAGCAGTTAATAAATCACACAGTGGTCTCAGCTTTATTAATAGAGGCACAAAGTGCAAGAGAAAGGAGGTGATAAGACACTTGTTTGACCTCAGCCAGGAGGATTGTGTATAATTCTGGGCACCACACTATTGGAAAGATGTGACTTCCTTGGAGAGAGTGCAGAAGTGATTTATGAGAATTGATCCAGGGATGAGAAACCTTGGTTTGAGGAGAGATCAGTGCTGGGTCTGTTCTCTCTGGAGAGAAGAAGCCAAGTGTAAAATTTGATACAGATTGTCAAAATCATTTGTGGATTGGACAGAGTACAGTGGGAGAAGCTGTTCTCACTCGTAAAGAAAGGAGGAAGAATGAGAGGGATATAGATTTAAAGTGAAGTGCAAATAAAGCAAGGGCGATGCAAGACAAAACTTTTTCACGCAACAAGTAGTGAGGGTCTGGAGTTCACTGCCTGGTAATGTGGTGCAGGCAGATTCAGTTGAGTCATTGGATGATCATTTAGATAGAAAGAGTGGGGGTGTATGGGGGAATAGGTAGGAAATTCGCACTCGGTAATAATGCGGATTAGAAAAGCTGGTCTGGTGCAGCACATATGGCCATATGGCCTCCTTTGGCACTGTAACAATTGTGATTTCAAGGAGTTTGGAAGAAAATTTTTAAAAAAACAGTAAAGTTCACTACAGCAGACTCAGTCCCAGCACCACGCGGCATGGTGGAAGAGTAGGAGCACTGGCTGCTTGAAGAATGTTGCTGAAGAACTGGTGGAAGGGAGGCCATCAGCTTTATCAGGATTGGTTCTGGGGCTGATGGGTCCTCTACAAGCTGGACATGTTACACCTTTACAGGACTGAAATGATCTCCTTGTGAGGATATTTGTCAGTGCTGCTGTGGTTGGTTCAAACTATTTTGTAAAAAAGGGGATAGGAACGCCAAGTGGTAACCGAAATTGGAAGGGAATTCAGTTGGTAACTGGAAATCAAGAATTTGCTAGGGAGACTAGAAGGCAGGAAAACCAAAGATGGGCATTGAGTATGCCTCAAAAGCAGAATGATGTCAAAAAGACAAAGTTAAGAGCATTTTTGCAGCAGCAGCGGGAGCAGTGAGAGCGAGGACCAGGGGGCTGTCGGGAAGGTAAGGTAATACTTTAAAAACTTACCTCATAAATAGGCGGAGCGCACGCTGAGCAGGAGCGGACACGGGACGGCTGAGTAAGTGAGGTAATATATGTGGGCGGTTGCTTTACCCGAAACACTACTTAGGTAGCGTCTCCCACCCATCCTCCTCCTTTAACCAAAAATAAAGGTTCTGAGCGCCGATTTGGTAAGGCTACTATTTTTTTTTGTTTTTTTCAGAATTCAGAACAGTGGGAATGGATGTTAGGGCAGTTGCACGCTCCTCCTGTGGAATGTGGGAGGTAAGGGTCACCACTAGTGTCCCCACTGACTTCATCTGCGGGAAGTGCACCCAACTCCAGCTCCTCGGAAACCGTGTTAGGGAACTGGAGCTGGAGCTGGATGAACTTCGGATCATTCGGGAGGCTGAGGGGGTAATTGAGAGGAGTTACAGGGAGGTAGTCACACCTTAGGTACAGGAAAAAGGTAGATGGGTTACAGTCAGGGGACAGAAAGGGAACAGGCAGACAGCGCAGGGATCCCCTGTGGCCGTTCCCCTCAAAAACAAGTATACCGTTTTGGACACTGTTGTGGGGGACGACTTACCAGGGGTAAGCCATGGGGTACAGGTCTCTGGCACAGAATCTGTTGAACATAGAACATAGAACATAGAACATAGAACATTACAGCGCAGTACAGGCCCTTCGGCCCTCGATGTTGCGCCGACCTGTGAAACCAATCTGAAGCCCATCTAACCTAAACTATTCCATTATCATCCATATGTTTATCCAGTGACCATTTAAATGCCCTTAAAGTGGGCGAGTCTACTATTTTTGCAGGCAGGGCATTCCACGCCCTTACTACCCTCTGAGTAAAGAACCTACCTCTGACATCTGTCCTATATCTATCACCCCTCAATTTATACCTATGTCCCCTCGTGCTAGCCATCACCATCCGAGGAAAAAGCCTCCCACTGTCCACCCTATCTAATCCTTTGATCATCTTGTATGTCTCTATTAAGTCACCTCTTAACCTTCTTCTCTCTAACGAAAACAGCCTCAAGACCCTCAGCCTTTCCTCATAAGACCTTCCCTCCATACCAGGCAACATCCTGGTAAATC